CCATCAGCAACCCGGATATATCCTCACATTACACAGGTAACAAGCTGAGATTAGGAGCACTCCCTTTAAGAGTGTGCTCCTAATCTCAGCTCGTTACCTGTATAAAAGACACCTGGGAGCCAGAAATCTTTCTGATTGAGAGGGGGTCAAATACTTATTTCCCTCATTTAAATGCAAATCAATTTATAACATTTTTGACATGCGTTTTTCTGGATTTTGTTGTTGTTATTCTGTCTCTCACTGTTCAAATAAACCTACCATTAAAATTATAGACTGATCATTTCTTCGTCAGTGGGCAAACGTACAAAATCAGCAGGTTGGTTATAATTACCGGTGAAACATTGTACTCGAATTGTAAATGCTGTGGGTTTACTCCCCAACTCACCCATGTGCTGAATTGGTAACAAATTGGCATATTTTGTTCATGTGACAAACCTTACTGATTGGCTGTGTCGGGTGGTGGCGGATTTAACGACACATTTATATTTACGCGATCTAGCCCAAAAAACCTCTTATGGATAACATTGGTCGCGAAAGCCTACGTTTAAACTTAGTCAAGTGGTTGGGGAATCAGGAAAGGTCTGCATCTACTATACAATCATTAAACTGTGATGCCCTTTGCTAGTATCTTTACTAATTTGCACACACCATCGTGAAGTAATCGCATATCTTGGTCACTTTCCCACCATGATAGTTTCAATATTGGTATAGAATTCTTATTTTCAACAAGGGTGATAAACCTGATTTTAATAACTACAGACCAATTCCCATCTTGTATATAAATTGGTCACGGAGATGCTATTGTTGACCACACACTATCAATCAGATTCTGGGAAAAAATATGAATCAAATATACCATTCTGCTTAGCTTCTGTAGACTATGAATATAAGGCATTTGACGATTTGGTCATTTATGTAGTCATCCAAGCTTTCACAAAGCAAGGGCGAGGTAAAAAAATATAAAAGTTTTGCTGTCTGGTGACGTCACCCGCATCCCACAGCGTTGAACCGGGTTCGTGCGTCACGCCAGCGTCACTCCTCCCCCAACCCACCACCATCCATCCCCGGTTGTGCTAGTATATAAAAATATATAAAGCTTCATAAAATAAAAGTTACATCGAGATTATATGAAATACCAAAATACATATCAGAACTGCAGTCAGACAAGGTGACACGCTTTTGCCAAAGCTGTTCACAGATTCGAAGGTGTTTTTTTACACCTATAAAATTGGATTGTAGAAAAAAAGGCAGAAATATTAATGGAGAAAACATTCACCGTCTACCAGAGGTGTGGACTCGAGTCATGTGATTTGGACTCGAGTCAGACTCCAGTCATGAATTTGATGACTTCAGACTCGACTTGGACTTGCATAACAATGACTTTGTCCCACCTCTGAGGTGTGGACTCGAGTCATGTGACTTGGACTCGAGTCAGACTCGAGTCATGAATTTGATGACTTCAGACTCGACTTGGACTTGCATAACAATGACTTTGTCCCACCTCTGCCGTCTACGATTTGCTGACTCAGTCATCCAACAGCCAGTGGGAACACACTAAAGATGTGTTAGAAATAAGAAAATATAAAAAAATATATCACAGTTTCGATTGCAACACAATCAGTCGTCCTCAGGCGGAAAAATTTATCCAGCAGTGTAACTGCTGAACCAGGAAGAAACACAGCGAGAGAGCTGTTACAATACGTTATATATGTGGTAAAGGGCAAGCAGGCGCGGTCTGAGCTGGAAAGGAATTCCATCCCCGTACGCAAGCACGTCAGTTGTGTTGCCACCCTGACATCCTATGTCCTTCCCGGTGGAAGAGATACGTGGATGACACTTTCATCATCTGGCCACATGGCCAGCCAGCACTGAACCAATTTTTCAACCACTTCAAATCCATACCCCCATCCATCAGATTCACCATGGAAGTGGAAAATTATGGCAAGCTACCATTCCTAGATGTTTTGATCGAGAAGAGGCCTGATGGTTCGTTGGGACATTCCCTCTACAGAAAAGTTACCCACACGGATTCCTATCTAAAGCCTGACTCCCACCACCATCCGGCTCAGAAGAACTCCCTCATCAAAACACTACACCGCTGCATCTCCGACCAGCGCCACCGAGCCAGTGAACTGGAGCACGAACACCAAGCCCTCAAGATGAATGGATACTCAGACCGCAAAATCCGCAAAGCTGTATCCCCAACCATGGGGAGACAACCATCTGAAGATCCAATCAAAACCATCACCTTGCCATACATAGCGGGTGTTACCAAAAATATTTCCAAAATCTTAAACAACACAAGATCCAGGTCCGATTCAATACAGTACACAAAACCCAGAATTTGATCCCATCTGTGAAGGATGTCATTCCTGACATGCAATACCTTCGTGTCTACAAAATAAGTTGTGTCTGCGGTAGCAGTTACATTGGGGAAACAAGACTACGTCTCGGACCGTGTTCACGAACACAAGGCAGATTTGAAACACGGTATAACCAATACCTCTGCCGTGACCGATCATTGCTATAACGCAGTAGGCTCGCACGATATTGTTTTTTTCGAGACCAATGTACTCTCCAACCTTCGGGCTGCCATCAAAGATTTGTCCATGAAGCCATCCAGATATATAAACACGTAGACAATTTCAACCGAGAAGATGGGTATAAGCTGAGCAATCATTGGAAGGACGTTATTAACCAAGTAAAGTCGTAACTTACCGTGGTGCTTCCATTCTTCCCTGCCGTTTGGCTCTCATCTCCGACTCTCTGAGTTGCATTGCCCTGTTAGGTGCCTCTGCATTAACGGGCTGGGGTCTCACTAACATGACCACCTCTGCTCCCTTAGCCTCGATGTATCGATGGTTCTGGCTATATGATAGGCTGTGTGTCTCACTGGCGCATCCACCGTTGCGGTGGTTCTCTTCTTGCGTGGGCGCGCTTGCCTCTCACAGCGCAGTTGGCAGCGTCGCAGCTTGTGTTACACATAGACATGACATTAACCTGCTAATCCCCCTAATCTCTCTGCCTAATCTCTCCCATCAACATCGTGCTGATCTCCAATTAACACTGCTGCTGTACGCATATGCGGGGGCGATACTCTCATGCGGCGACAAAAGCTAATTTCATGCTAATCTCTCTCCCTAATCTCCCCCATTAGCACAACTGACGTGCTTGCGTGTGGGGATGGAATTCCTTTCCAACTCAGACCCCGCCTGCTTGCCCTGCGCCACATATATAACGTCTTGTAACAGCTCTCTCGCTGTGTTTCTTCCTGGTTCAGCAATTTCACTGCTGGATTATTATTTGCACCTGAGGACCGCTTGTGTTGCGATCGAAACGTCGTGATATGTTGTTTTTTATTTTATATTTCTCCCTACGTGACTTTACCGAAAGAACCAAAGAGTATGGATTCCTGCAGTCACGAAGGCTTCAAATCAAGATGTGTTAAAAAAACAAGATACAAGTGAGCAAAACAAGTCATGTACAACAAGTTTACTAGGTTATTGAAAATATTTGCCGAAAGCACACAACTAGCAAAGCACCTAGGTCAATTATTGATGGCAGACTGGGATAATAATAAAAAAGTTATGATAACAAGCACTAGAGCAGGTTGGAGTGCCTTTAGAAAGCTGAGTTTGATCATGAAAACACCAGACCAATGTGCTTACACAAAAAAATGTAATCATTTCATGTTACCTGCAATGACATGGGTTAGAAACATAGGCAAACAGGAGCTGAAAATGGTACAAAGAAGCATGTAGAGATGCACACTTGGAAATCCGTTGAGACATAAAAAGAGACAAACGCAGATTGAATGCATTATATTGGCCGTTAAGAAAAGTGGACTTGGGTAGGATATGTGACAGGAAGGGATGCTGGCCGATGGTGGAGAATGAGAGAATGAGAGGAGCAAACAAGGGAGGGGACGTGTCTGCAACTATGTCCACCGCAGGGCACCACTCGTGGATTCTAACATCGCAGCACCACGAGATGGCGACGACTTCGGAAGCCCTTCATCCAGCAGTGGATTGATCATGGTTGATTATGTCATTTTCTAAATGACTGCTTGACTGTCCTAGCTGAAATTCCGAATATGAGCTCACCTGAAACTACATTTAATATATATTAACTGCACCGTAAAGTTGTTTTCCCACTCCATTTGAAAACATATCTCAGTGGTTAAATAAACAATATCAATACTTTATAACATGTCTTATACATATCTTGTAGAGAATGTGTATTTGGGCGCCACGGTGGTGAGATGTCAACTACCTCACCTGATTTGTTGTTTTCTATTTACGTGACTTGACCGAAAGAACCAAGAATATGGTATACAGGAGGTCGTAGGTTCGATCCCGATCCCGACCCTGATGCCTGTATATTTGGAGTTTGCATGTTCTCCCCGTGGTCGCGTAGATTTTTCTCGGGCTTCTATACATTTCCACTTAAGACACTTTGTAGAGCTATCATTTGTGGCCAGGTCGTTTCTCAAAAAGAGCATTGTAGCTCAGTGGGCTTCACCTGGTAAAATAGAAAAGTTTTGTTTGTATTGCACCATACATTATATAAAATGCTGTTTGGGTAACATTTTCACAAGTGCGTGAAAATGTCATGAGTTTGTGAGCTGTATATGTACAGTGAAGAAAAAAAGTATTTGATCCCCTGCTGATTTTGTACGTTTGCCCACTGACAAAGAAATGATCAGTTTATAATTTAATGGTAGGTTTATTTGAACAGTGATATACAGAATACCAACAAAAAAATCCAGAAAAACGCATGTCGAAAATGTTATAAATTGATTTTCATTTTAATGAGGGAAATACGTATTTGACCCCCTCTCAATCAGAAAGATTTCTGGCTCCCAGGTGTCTTTTATATAGGTAACGAGCTGAGATTAGGAGCACACTCTTAAAGGGAGTGCTCCTAATCTCAGCTTGTTACCTGTAGAAAAGACACCTGTTTACAGAAGCAATCAATCAATTAGATTCCAAACTCTCCACCATGACCAAGACCAAAGAGCTATCCAAGGATGTCAGGGACAAGATTGTAGATCTACACAAGGCTGGAATGGGCTACAAGACCATCGCCAAGCAGCTTGGTGAGAAGGTGACAACAGTTGGTGTGATTTTTCGCAAATGGAAGAAACACAAAACAACTGTCAAACTCCCTCGGCCTGGGGCTCCATGCAAGATCTCACCTTGTGGAGTTGCAATGATCATGAGATCGGTGAGGAATCAGCCCAGAACTACACGGGAGGATCTTGTCAATGATCTCAAGGCAGCTGGGACCATAGTCACCAAGAAAACAGTTGGTAACACACTACGCCGTGAAGGACTGAAATCCTGCAGCGCCCTCAAGGTCCCCCTGCTCAAGAAAGCACATATACATGCCCGTATGAAGTTTTCCAATGAACATCTGAATGATTCAGAGGACAACTGGGTGAAAGTGCTGTGGTCAGATGAGACCAAAATGGAGCTCTTTGGCATCAACTCGCCGTGTTTGGAGGAGGAATGCTGCCTATGACCCCAAGAACACCATCCCCACCGTCAAACATGGAGGTGGAAACATTATGCTTTGGGGGTGTTTTTCTGCTAAGGGGACAGGACAACTTCACCGCATCAAAGGGACGATGGACGGGGCCATGTACCGTCAAATCTTGGGTGAGAACCTCTTTCCCTCAGCCAGGGCACTGAAAATGGGTCGTGGATGGGTATTCCAGCATGACAATGACCCAAAACACACGGCCAAGGCAACAAAGGAGTGGCTCAAGAAGAAGCACATTAAGGTCCTGGAGTGGCCTAGCCAGTCTCCAGACCTTAATCCCATAGAAAATCTGTGGAGGGAGCTGAAGGTTCAAGTTGCCAAACGTCAGCCTCGAAACCTTAATGACTTGGAGAAGATCTGCAAAGAGGAGTGGGACAAAATCCCTCCTGAGATGTGTGCAAACCTGGTGGCCAACTACAAGAAACGTCTGACCTCTGTGATTGCCAACAAGGGTTTTGCCACCAAGTACTAAGTCATATTTTGCAGAGGGGTCAAATACTTATTTCCCTCATTAAAATGCAAATCAATTTATAACATTTTTGACATGCATTTTTCTGGATTTTGTTGTTATTCTCTCACTGTTCAAATAAACCTACCATTAAAATTATAGACTGATAATTTCTTTGTCAGTGGGCAAACGTACAAAATCAGCAGGGGATCAAATACTTTTTCCCTCACTGTACGCGTAGAATTTAGTATATTTTATTTTGAAACGTACGAACTAAATTGTTCACATTTTCTGAATATTACAGCGTGATTTGGTGTTGTTCAGGTTTATCAGCACTATATACATTGTCACACTTGCCTCTGTGTATGTGTGCATCGATGTGTAACGATGGCACCGAGTGTGTTCGCATTTCTTTACGAAGTGTAGCAAGTGAGTGCGTCATTGGGTCACCCCCTGGAGCGAGGAAGTCGCTTTCTGGTTTGGTGAGTTTAGGCACTTTGGAATTCGTTACAGAATTCTATGTGTACTGCAGAAAATGTCTGACCTCGGTAATTTGCAGTGATGTGTGCTTTACAACTAGGAAAATCTATGCGAGTTTATTAATTTTTTGAGCGTACTTAAATTGATTATTCAATGACTCGTGACACTTTCTGAAGACATTTTCCAGGCTTAGACGCTGCCTAGACACATGCACTTTATTCTATGAGAATCGAAGACTATTATAGATAATATACCCACATTTCCGTTGCTCGTTTGAGCCCACTTAACATATATATGAATTAATTTCTGTAACTGCGTGCCACTATAATGTAATCAGCTGAGCATATGTGGTAGTGAAGTAAAAAAAATGCATTTTACAGAATAAATTTTCAACCATTTCACAAACAGCAGTATTTAAAATGGTCACAGAAAATGCACGCATTGGCCCAGCCTGAGCTGCGCTGAATACTAACTGCCACACAGGAGTTATCTGCCAACAGGATCGCTTTTCTTCACGTGGACACGCGTGGAGCGTGGAAAGGTGTGCAGATCTGCCACTGCAATGCCCAGAAGGAGCAACACTCCTGGAAACATAACCATGAAGAACTGTCGAGGATTGTGTTTGTCAGTGCATGATTGATATAAAGTGGTACTGTGGTATACAGTATAAATATGACTGTAAGAGTGTATATTTACGAATTGTGTGACATGCATTCTGTATGGGCATTATACGAATCACGTTGCAGGTGTAAGCCATAATCTTGCTTCAAAACTGTACGTACATACATTTAAAGTGGACGTAGATGGCGATAAATACATACAGCTCAATTTTCAGTTAATTTCACTGCCTTGCCTTGTTTGAAGCCCTCGCTGCAGGTAAAATGATACTAGAACATGTGTAAGCTTCATGCCAAGCTAGTCGTGAGTCTTGTCAGAATAAACTACCACCACACACTGCTTCTCAAGCCTCTTCTGATGTAGTATTAATAATGCGATCGTTTGATTTGGAAATGGCTCATTTTTCAGGAAGGAAATATTGAAATATATTTGGCCGGGATCCAGAGAAAACCCAAGCATAAGAGGGGATAACACTCAATATATGCAAAAACCAAAGAAATGTACTTGCTATCTCCTGGCCACCTTAGAGTTAGTGGGTTTGAGAGTGTTACAATTCTGCCCAGTTTGTCTCTCAAGTGCAGAATTTCAGGTGTACACTGGCAGTCTTGGACACGTGATGTGCATACAGTGGTCAAAGCCCGTCCTGCACACTCGGCAACCCTTAACAGACGAGAGCCTATGGACACGGTAAGTCTCTTGCAAATTTAAACTTGGGTTCAGTACTCTATAATGCTGGATACAAAAAGGAACACAATACAAAATGTGTATCGTGCAGATGGTAATAGCAAATATATATTTTAAAATTTGATGTGATGACGGTAAAGATGCTGTGCTTCACTTTGCATACAACAATAATTAGGAAAACTAAACCAACCGGAATGATGGAGCATTGCATAAAAGTGCTTTGATATCACTTGTTCTTGTAATCTTGTGTCTATCAGTCTTATAAAACATTTGCAAAAACCAGACGGAAATATGGGTATCCACGGTGCATTAAACAAGGGCCACAAAATGCCCTGCTTGCACTAAATTCTTGATGTTCCTTTGCTCAGATTTCCTGTTTTTTCTTCTTGAAAACCCACACATGCTCTCGGAATTATGCTTAATTCGTGACGTGAGAGGAATTGATGCTGTACATTTATTTTTTCATTTCATTATAATACATTGCTGCTCATATAGAGTTCCACCAGGTGTCCAGAGGTATTCATGCGGATTCTTGACATTGTAAATCACCAACTCGTCCGATAAGGAAACCGTTGGTGTTGGTCCTCCCATCACCGAAGCGTCAACCAGGCGGTGGCGATACTGAGCAGAGGCAGACACGAGGCAGAGAGGGCGACTGCCGGCACTCCCCTTGCACCTGAAGTACAAGCACTCACGATTAACAATGCAGTGACATGCGAGGTCCCTCAACCCTGTCTGCTTAAAGCCAAAACAGTCATTCGCGTCATTGCGCCTCTGAGTAGCACGGTTGGCTATGTGTGGTACTAAAGAAGTTCAACATATTCTTGGTTCTTTCGGTAAAGTCACGTAGAAGGGAAATAATAAAATAATAAAAATAAAACAATAACATTCTCACGACGTTTCGATTGCAACACAAGCATCCACCTGATGATGATTGCTTGTGTTGCAATCGAAACGTCGTGAGAATGTTATTATTATTTCCCTTCTACGTGACTTTATCGAAAGAACCAAGAATATGAATCCCTGCAGTCACGAAAGCTTTAAATCGAAAAAAGTTCAACATACATTGCGGAGAAGTTAAGCGAACAAAATCAATAAGCAGACAATTCTCCTTCCCCCCTCAGTCTCTCCACATAAAAAAAATTAACGATTTTATTTAAACATCAACATGGCCTTCTGGGAGCAATTTCATTCAGCGGTATTGGTTTAACACAAGCTAACTGAGGACCAGCTTTGACTTTCAGTGTATCATCAACAGTCAGGCTTGCTGAGAGCAATGCAAGGTGCCAGACTGCTAGAAATTAAAATTTAAAACATCTACACGCATCAACACAAGCTCCATCTAACAGCAGCTTTGAAGACATTGACACATAGACTGGATTTTTGTTGTGAATGATCATATTTCAAATGCCTTGCTTCCCTATTTACTTACAATGAAAATTCTCAAATCACTATAACGGAATTATAACACAAATATATACCAAATGCATGAAAAGATTAATAAACTCTTAATTGCCAGAAAAACAACACTGCACCATGGTCACTGGAGACTTCAAAGGTCGTGTTGCACATTAGGAATGGACGACTCTTTAATCATTTACTCGTGCAGCAAGGGAGTAAAGTGTGGTTTTGTGAAAGTCCTATGTGCTGTGCAGTCCAGCAATGAACTTGTGTACACCAGCATGCGATACCTGAGTTGGGTCGGTAGGTGGCTGGCATGGTTATTGATTAACTGCACTTGTACACAAGTCACATGGTTAATGGCGACTCGGTTGAAGATTGCTGTGTGTGACACACGTGCTGTTGCATTTTACAGATTTACAAAAATAAATGTGTTTGCCCTCGATTTGGAGCACTTGCCCACGTCCTTCATTTCGAGTGTGCAACATATTTTGGCGAGCCTGGCAGGAACAGGGAAACTGGCGAGGGTTGCTGCAGGGGGAACCAGCAGTAACCTACACGGGTGTCAGTACTGTTTATGTGAAGAGAATGATGTTGTAAGACTGCAGACGTGCCAGGGTTGTCAAGCAGCACAGTACTGCTCGAATACCTGCCAAAAAACAACACTGGCAAGAGCACAAGGTGCTCTGCAGAGCAATCAACACATTATAGAAAGAAGCAGAATGACAAAAGACACCAGAGTGGAGGAACCCAAATATTGGCAAAGTTAGCTTTCTCAGGCCTAAATGCAACAACAGACTGTTACAGTTAATTGGGAAACGATGCATGGTGAAGTGTTTACTGGACCACGTATCAACCTCTGCCCTTTGGGACACAGGAGCTCAGGCCACTGTTATAAATGAAGTATGGCGAAATAAGCATCTAGCGAAGTTAATAGTGAGTCCAGTTGAAGAATTCTTGGGAACTGGTACAATTACTGGAATGGCAGTTAACCAAACAGAAATACCATTCACAGGCTGGATAGAGGTGGCATTTAGATTGAACAGTAATATGGGGACCAGTCAGTGCTTTCTCATTCCAATGCTGGTATCCAGTGACCCCAGGGTTGCAGAAGATCCCATTATTGGTTGTAATGTCATCGATGAGGTCATCAATGGGCTGGTAGAATGAGTAGAAGGAGGAGACCCAATTGTGGGGGTTGTGGGTGAGGCTTTCTCCATCACTCCGGGAGACACAAACGTCCTCATCCACCTATTGTCTTCTGGAAACCGGGGCAGTCAAGACAGGCAAACAAAGAGTGGTGCTACCACCAGCTCAAGCCACAATGGTTCGAAGTCGTGCTCATTTGGGATAGTTGGAGGAAGATCAAGTGATGCTGTTTGTCCCTGAAGAGAAGCCCTAATGGCCAGAGGGTTTACACATCAATGAGGTCCTGGTGACACTGAGTAGAGGCAACTCATCCTGCATACCAATCTCAGTGATCAACACAACCAAACAGCATCATATTTGATCAGCGGGTCACCCTAGGACACTTACAGCCGGTGAAATCTGTGTATCCAGCAGCAGTAAGACCTGTGGCATATCACCAAGGCACCCATATTCAGGATCAGACATGCCAAGAAACACAGGGTGACCACACAACTGGTGGAGCAAAAGCTAAGGGGCTGCAGCTGAGGCCAAAAGTTCAAGAGCAAGGTGAAAAATGGGACCCACTGGTAAAACTGGACCACCTAACAAAGGAGCAGCAAATTGCCGCCAAGATGATGCTCAGAGAGGAATGCCATTCTTTTTCGAGGGATGGCAATGATGTTGGGAGCATACCTTTATTTAAAATGCATATCACCCTCAAGGATAGGCTCCAGTGCAAAAGATGTACGTTGCAGTCCCAAAACCATTGCATAATGAAGTTAAGCAGTATCTGCAAGACTTGATCAATCGAGGCTGGGTGACAAAATCAAGATCATCATATTCTTCACCCATTGTCTGCGTAAGGAAGAAAGACGGAAACCTGAGACTATTTTGTGATTACCGAGAGCTGAACTGGAAGTCTGTCCCTGACAGGCATACCATTCCAAGGATCCAAGACATGCTTGATAGTTTGAGTGGGAGTTCTTGGTTTTCGGTTTTAGACCAAGGGAAAGCCTACCATCAAGGCTTCCTCGATTAAGAAAGTCGCCCCCTCACAGCTTTTATCACACCATGGGGATTATATGAGTGGGTGCGTATTCCCTTTGGTTTGAGTTCAGCACCAGCAGAATTCCAGAGGAGCATGGAGGACTGCCTGTCTGGCCTTCGGGATGAAATCTGTCAGCATTATCTGGATGACAACCTTGTTTACAGAAAGTCCTTTGAAGATCATGTGCGGCATGTACATACGGTCTTGCGTCGGTATCAACAGCATGGTGTCAAACTGACAGCCAGGAAATGTTGTTCCAGAGCAAGGTGCGATACTTATACAAAATTGTATCGAAAGATGGCTATACTATGTACCCAGCAGAGATTGCCCCAGCTCAAGCACTTAAAGCAAGGAAGCCTGCAACAGTGTGAGAGCTCAGGAAGATGTTGGGATTCATCTCTTACTACAGGTCGTATATACAGAACTTTTCAAGTAATTTTAAAACAAAAAAAACAGTACAGGGAACAAAATCAGGCCAACTGCTTAGCAGAACACCAATAACATGGACAGATTCCCACCAAAGGGTTCTGATACAGTTGGTTGATCACCAGTCCACCGATATTGGCATACCCAAACTTTAATCAACCATTCGTCTTACATTGTGATGCCTCACAAGAAGGTCTGGGAGCTATCCTTTACCAGAGGTAAGATGGAATAATTAGAGTCATAGCATATGGGTCCAGAACTCTCACCAGAGAAAAATTACCACCTTCACTGAGGCTGAAATGTCTGGCACTGAAATGAGCAGTTTGTGAACGTTTCCGGGATTATCTGTATCATGCCCCTTCGTTTGTGGTATACAGACAATAATCCCCTCACCTATGTCCTCACCAATGCCAAACGCAATGCAACTGGACAAAGATGGGTTGCCGAATTGGCCGACTTTGATTTCACAATCATTGGTCTATAAATAAATGCATCAGGAAATGGGCCATCTTGGCGTAGAAAGGACATTGGACTTGATCAGAGATCGATTTTATTGGCCCAGAATACAGAACGACATCGAGAATTTTATCACAAAGGTATGTGACTGCCTAAAGAAAAGAAAGCCAAACACACCAACACGGGCACCTTTGTCTAACATCAAAACCACATACCCTTTTGAGATGGTTTACATTGATTTCTAAACCTAGAAATATGTAAGCAGGGATATGAATATATCCTGGTGGTAATGGATCATTTTACACGATTTGCTCAAGCCTATGTTAGAACAAATAAAACAGCAAAAAAGGTGGCTGACAAGCCGTTCAATGACTACACTCTTAAATTTGGTTTCCCAACAAAAATACACAATGATCAGGGAAGATAATTTGAGAATCAGCTGATGGCCCAATGAAAGAAAAATTGTAGAATAAGAGGCTCCCACACTACCCCATACCACCCACAGGATAACGGACAGGTAGAGTGATTCAACAGGACCTTGCTGTTAATCTTAAGGACTCTGACTGAAGAGCAGAAGGCAGATTGGAAGAGCTCCCTGGCCAAGGTAGTGCATGCCTATAACTGTACTCGTAGTGAAGCCACAGGATTCTCACCTTTTTATCTTCTTTTTGGGAGGTCTCCAAAACTACCAGTGGATCTTATTTTTGGTTTTGAACACCAGGGAGAGGAAGGCTCCTATAACCAATATGTGGAGACATCGAATGGTGGAAGCCTACAGAATAGCATCCGACTGTGCAACAAAATAAGCCACTAAAAAGAAGGGCCAGTATGACAAGACAATTCATGGGGCAGAGTTACAGCAAGGCAATCGTGTCTTGGTGAGAAATGAGTGAGAAAGGGGGACTAGGTATAATTCGCTCCTACTTGGAGGCCAAGGTGTATGTTGTTATTGGCAGGAAAAGTAATGACAGCCCAATTTATGAGGTGAAACCTGAGAGCGGTGAAGGGAGAACCAAGGTGATTTATCGGAATTTGCTGCAACCTTGTGACTTCCTCTCAATTGAGCAGCAACGGAGTAACAAAGCAACAAAGAAAACTCACCAAACAAGGACAAGAGGCCCATGGAAAGACACGCAGGAACCAACAGACAGTGAGTTGTAAACTGAGGAAGGATTTGATAGAGGTTACTTCAATTGGCCAAAAACTGTTCAGCAAGC